AATTGGGTTCTGGATGTTGTGAATTTTACTTTGTTGAATTTTAGACTTAGTGTCTTCCTTTTAAGAGTGTTGGATTTGTTCTGGCAGGCTGTTAAATTACTTGCAGATCAACTGATACTTTTGATATTGTTTTTAAGCTTTGATGGGGCAGGCTTAAAGTAGCCTTTTCTGTAAGACTATTTTAACCCTACCACTATGGTGTGACCTTTCTGTGTTCTCTAAGGGGATGTTCATTAAGGACTCTCACTTTGGCAGGTTCAAACATAAACATTTTTCCAACTGTGTATCAGCTGTGGCTTTGGTTAATTTAGAGCTCTCTGGTTTTCTTTCTCAGCCTTCTGGAGTTTCACAATATATATTCATGGCTTAGTATTCAGCAACAGACTCCAGGAGACTCCTAGGCAAATTTCTGGATGTCTTTTTGTGTGTGTATAGATCCTTCATTTCTGGAACCCTACCCCACATATTTCAGATGCTTATTTCTGTCTCCTCAGCAAATCAACTGTGCTCTGATTGAAGTTTCTTTCTCTGAACTGAAGACTGGAAAATTGTCTCCTGACAGAAAGCTGGAGTGATCATAGGGCTCATTTTGTTTGTTTTCCTTTTCTCAGAGATCACAGCCCTGTGCTACCTGTTGTCCAATATCTAGAAGCAATCCGCCTCCTTCCCTCCCTCCCTCCCTTCCTTCCTTCCTTCCTTCCTTCCTTCCTTCCTTCCTTCCTTCCTTCCTTCCTTTCTAGTTTTCCATTTGTTAACAGAGGGAAGATAAGTTCAGTCTCAGTTATTCTATCAAGGCTGGAAACAAGTATTATATATCTTTTCTTAATCCTTTTCAACTGTTTGTCTCTAATAAGCATCATATATCCTAATTTTTAAAAAATTCAATCTGAGAATATCTTTCTATTAACTAATAAGTTTACCATTTGTGTTTGAATTGCTGGCTCATTTATGTTTACTATTTCCATTTTTTTTTTTTGTATTTACACTTTGTTCTTATCGTGATTCTTTTTCTTTCTTTCCTTTATCTTATATATATTTGTTTCTTTACCTACTTTCTACCCTTGCTACTTATTGGTTTGGAAGTTATATATTTTCAACCTATTCTTTTAGTAGTTAAATTTGTAATATGCATATTTTAAAAAGTCTTTTGTTAGTATTTCCAACTCTCCTAAACAATATGTGGTCCTAAAAATATTTGAATATTGAGCACAACATCCTGCTTACTAATGAATGTGTTTTCTTATTCTCTCCCTCCCCCTTCTCTCTTTTACACAACCCCAATCTGTTATAGTTGTGTACTCTTTTAGATCCACATTGGCTTTTTATAGTCTTAAAAATAAATCACTACTCTAATTCTTATTCTTTGAGTCAGTGCTTATTTGTATCCATTTATATGTTTACAAAATTTTTCAACATTGCTTCTTGCTTTCTATTTCTTACTTCTAAGTTCAATTTCTTTCTTGAGACTACTTCCTTTCTTTGATTTGTGAGTTAATTTTCTCAGTCTTTGCCTGAAAATGGATTTATTTTACCCTCATTTTTGAGTATAGGGTTAGCTGAGTGTAGAATCTAGGTTGAGGGTTATTTCCTTTGATAACTTTAAAAATAATTTGTTGAGAAGTCTGTTCTCATTCTAATTGTTTTTCTATGTAAGTCCGTCTTTTGCCATTGTTTTCTTTTAAGGTCTTCTTTTTCTCTTTGTAGTTGTATGTCTAGGTATGGTTTTGGGGTTTATTGAAAGGAGGGGTTTGGCTTTGCAGTTTTTCAGTCAGAGTATTAATACTTTTTAGTAGGTCTGGAAAATTTTTAGATGTTATTTATTTGAATATTACCACCTTTAAATTCACTCTACTGTCTCTCTCAACCTTTATAATATGCTTATTGGATATCCTAGTCCAAATGTTCATTAATATTTTTTATCATAGTTTCCATATGTTTATCTCTCTGTGCTGTGATTTGTCTTCTAGTTCATTCTTCCCTCTTCAGCTGTACTAGTCTGTTCTTTGATGCATTCGTTCTGTTTTTCATTTTATTAACTACTTTTCCTTTCTTTCCAGAAGTTCTATTGGTTCTTCTTCAAATTTTCCTTTTTTTTCCTAAGTCTCATTCTTTTCATTTTTTCTTTAATGTCTTTAATACTTTTAAGCATATTTTTCATGTCTTCTAAAATATTTTGTTTAATATCTTGAAGTTCTAGAATTCTGTTCCTGCTATGTTTTATGTTGCTCTGACTCTCACTCATGGTGGATTAAGTCACCCTGAGTTTGTAAGCTCCTTTAAAGCAGGACTTTCCTGCAGAATCTTTTATGGCCAAGGATATGGGTTTGCTTCTGCATAGGGACTCTGTGTTATCATTGGCATGGGACAAACTTTATGTTAAAGTTTAGAATTGGGAGTGGTTAGTGCGCAGTCAGAATCCAAAACTGAATAAAGTTAGACCTAAGGTTCCTTACAGAAGACATTTTTTACCTACTTAGAGAGTAGGAGAAGATAAACTTTCAGTTGTATCTTTGTGAGGTTGAGTGTATTTTTCCTCTGGAGCCTCTTTTCAAGTGTTCCAAATTATGTAGAGGACCCAGTTCCAGTTATCCATTAGTCCTAACTTCTTGTTTCCTGTCCTTGCTTCAATGTTTTAAACACAAACCTTTCACTGTCACTGGGTCTTCCTACCCCCAACTTTTAGCTACAGGCCTTCTCAATTGTTTCCGTCTCTGGCTTTGTTTTATCTTTGTCTTTGGCATATGCGAATTTATTTTTCTTTCCTGCAAGCTCAGCTATGAATTGTAAAAAAAAAAAAATTGTATTTTACCCAAAATGTTTTCCTCTTAGCTTAATCAACTATCTTACTAGAATCTGAAATATCTAGTATTATCTTTCCAAAGCACAAAACTGATCATATTACCTCCCTCTTTTTTCTGTGGATAAAGACCTAAATTTTAACCCAGCTTATCAGGCTCTGTCTTTTGAGTTTTTGAATACCTTTTCAAATGCATATCCTATCACTCTTCTCTGTGGTCTCTGAGCTCTAGCCATACTAGTCTTCTCTTTGTTGTGGGAGCATGTCATTTTCCCTCCCTCAACACACTCCCTTTGAGGCCTTTGATTTTAGCATTCCTTCAGTTTGAAAAGCCACCTTCCCCTACCCACACTGTATATCTATCTACACACCATTCAGATCTCAGCTAATGTGTCATTTACTCAGGGAAGCCTTTCCTGACTTCTCTGACCCTCTTAGTCTAGATCACTTTACTTTGTTATACACTTTTTTTTTCTCTAGAAGTATTTGCTTAAAATGTATTTGGTCATTTGTGTGATTATTTGACTAATTCATGGCTCCCCCATAGTCTGAAAGTGTCATGAGAACAGAGGCTATTTTGTTTATCACTGGATATGCATCTAGGTACATTGACTGGAACATAGAATATACTAAAAAATATGGAATGGGTGGGGCGCCTGGGTGGCTCAGTTGGTTAAGCGACTGCCTTCGGCTCAGGTCATGATCCTGGAGTCCC